GCGGGGCCGGGCAGGGGCGGACGAAGATCCCAGGTCTCCCCCACCGCCGGGGCAGAGGATTCGGCGTGGCCGGCTTCGGGACTCCGCTCTGGGATCTGGGGCGCCGCAGGTCGAAACTGCTGCGTGAATGGACTCTGCTCCCAGAAGATCGATCTGCAACCCGCAAGAGCCTCGCATTTGATTTCCTCTGGGCTGTGGGCTCTGGGGTAGGGGGAGGGCGCCCGAGCGGGTCTTCCAGTGGGGGAGGAGCCAAGGGAGGGAGAGGCAACTATTTACAAGCCACGCCCCTTCACTGACCAACCCCCACAAGGTATCCGCCCATCCAGGCGGGGTCCGTGAGCGCCGAGAGGAAAGCTTGTCTACGCCCCGGCAGATTCTATTGGCTGAAAGGCCGTGGGAAGCTGCCATAAGTAACCAATTGAATCACTGGACCGCCTCGTGAGGGCGGGGAGAACAACGCAAACTTCCTAAAGAGCCAATAGAGAAGAGGAACGGCAAAGAGCTTCCTGAGTTCGGGAATCTGTGGAAGATGGCGGCTGCCAAAGATAGTTGGTGTGTGTGTGAGTTGCTGAGGTGAGGACCGGGTAGATTGGGCTCGCAGGCGTTACCTGTCCTATAGTGGTAGTTGCCCGTCCAGTACAGCTACAAATCTGCGGGTAATTGCCTGCGCTGGCATGAAGCTGGGATATTTTCTCAGGTTAGTGAGCGGTTTTTCTCTCCTTTTCGGGTTTTCTAGATAGGCTGGAACAGTCTAGGTCTTAGAGACTTAGTATCGGTATTTTTCCCACTACGGCACTGCCCATCTAAGCTGTAGATGACCTAGACTCAGACTACCTCAGTGTTTTCGCCGGCCTTGCTACGAAGGAGTCATTTTCTTATTTCAGTTTTTCTCTTCCCAATCCAGTTCGTCTGTCATAAATTATTCATATTCTTTCATTTTCCTTTGTGATTATTTTCCAATTTCTCAGGTCTCTCCAGTGAATAAATCAGTCTTTCCTTCTCGTGTAGTTAACTGCCATTCATTATAAAGCTTTTTTTTCCACCTGCGGTACTAGGGATTAAACCCATGCTAGGCAAGTGCCTCAGCCTCCCAAGTAGCTGGGATTACAGGCGTGCATTTCCGCGCTCTGATAAATTCTGTACCTTTAATTATTTCTTTTCTTTGATGTAAAAATAGTTATATAAAATACTGCTTTTATTCTTATTACGTACGTAAGAAATTGTTTCTTGTCGAGAAGTTAGGAAGTAGGTATGTAAAACTCACCAGGAATGCTACCATCTGGTGATAACCCCTGTTAACATTTTGGTGAAAACCCTGCCTCCCCACCCGCTTTGTTGTAATATTGCTTTATCTTAAATGCCTTGCCCTACAGTAATAAAATGAAGACCTAGCCGGTGGTGGCGCACTGTGGCACACTTGTGCCGCAGCAGGCATGCAGAGCCCTTTCTGCGACGACATCACGAGTTGTAAGAGTTCTTTCCGTACTAAAACCTCATTATGCAGGTCTAACTGCAGTGTGTGGACCATGCAATAAATAAGTGGATTTGAGGTTGTAGTTTGGGCCCTCGGTCTCTAAAATATTTGCATCAGAGGTAGCATATTGTACCTGCTGTGTTCTTGTAACACCCATGTATTTCCCATTCAGGATGAAATTTATAATTCGCCATAGCTTCCTGAAAAGCAACCTATACATAATCTCGCCAGAGTTGATATTTGCTTGTTTAAACATTATTTAAAATATTCCAGGGCCAGGGATTTAGTTCAGTGGTTGTACCGGGCAAGGTCTGGAGTTTGAGCCCCAATCTCAAAAAAAAAAAAAAAGAAAAAGTATTCCAAATAAGAAAGTCTTTTCGGAGCCTCATGTTTTTCCCTACCATAAGAAATATCCCTAACTCCTGCTTAAACACTATGCCTACTGTTTGATGAATGACCCACTTTTGAATAGTTACCTTTTATGAAGCCTTCTATTTAAACTTGGATAAACAATGTTAGTATTTTATATTTAAACAGATTGTAAAATGGATAGTTTTGATGTGCAAATGCTATAGGATAGTTAATAAATTTATACTACCTGTGTGTCTTTAAAACTAACTAGACTGAAAGGACTGGTTTAACTTTAGTCATTAATGTGCCTTTTTTCTAATTTTAAATTAAATACACACATAATTTACCCACCTGTATCATTTGAAGGAATTGTCATAAAAATCTTTAGATTCTGAGTCATTTGCTTTTTAAATAAAACAGACTTTTAAAAGCTTGCCCGAGCCGGGTATGGTGGCACATGCCTGTAATTCCAGCACTCAGGAGGCTGAGGCAGGAGCATCACTGAGTTCAAGACCAGCCTGGGCTACATAGTGAGTTCCAGGTCAGTCTCAACTACATAGTGAGACCCTGTCTCAAAAAAAAAAAAAAAAAAAAAAAAACATTCCCCAAAAAAAACAAAAGCCCTTCCAACTAAAAAATCAAACTGCCTTACCAGTATATAGTGTTGCTTTAATGAATTCATATATTCCAAATGTTAGATAAATGACAAATTTTAGCACTTCTGTCAAATTCTGTTCACTTTTTTAAGATAGTGGTTTTCAAAGTGTGGCCCATGAACTCAGGTTCAAGACTCTTTCAGTGAGTTTTAAGGGTCAGAACTCTATCATAATGTTGTTAGCATTCTGTTTTCACTAGGTTGACAGTTACACAGATGGTATGAAAGTGGCATGGAAAATACTGCCTTAGCACAAATCAAAGTGATGATGCCAAGCTGTCATTGTGTTTTTCACCACCATTTACCTGCTAAAGCCAGTTTTAAGCAAGAGTGTGATATTCCAGGCTGAGGCAGAAGGATCACTGCAAGTTAAAGTCCAGCCTAGACTACATAGCAAGGCCCTGTCCCAAAACCAAAATAAATAATTAAGTAAATCTGTAATAAAATATACAAATTACTGCTTTTGTTAAATCTCAATCCTTGAGTATGTATCTCTGTAATCATCTGTATAACAAAATGGAAGGAAGGATGGATAAACCTCTGTATGGCTACCTCAAGGTAAACCTCTTACATGATTGACTTAGTTGCAGACTGACTTAAACACCATTTTTACTTGAAAGAACAACTGACAAACTTGAACTATCTAGGCATTATATTATAAAATAAAGAGATAAAAGATCCACTGAATCCTGGCTCAAGTGATCCTTCCACCTCAGCATCCTGAGTAACTGGGACTCCAGGTGCATACCACCTCCTGGCTAGAATTTTGAAAATTAAAAAAAAAAAAAAAAGATTGCCAAGCATGGTGGCATATACCCATAATGCCGTTTACTTGAGAGGCTGAAACAGAAGGATCGGGGACTGAATGCCAGCCTGGGTATCCTACTGAGACTCTGTCTCCAAATTGCAACTCAGTGGTAAAACTCTACGGAAAGAAAAAAATGTAAGTATTTTCTTAGCAAGCTTACATACTACAATTCTAGTTTCTACTAATACATAAAGTGAATATTTTAAAGTTGCCTTTAATTTGTAGTATATTTTTAAATGGTCATCAGATTGATTTTTTACCTTTTCTTATTTTAGGTTTTTTTATTCATTATTCTTTCCTGGGCTAATTGTGTGTGGAATTTTATGTGTATTTTTGGTCATTGCCCTTTGGGGAATCAGACTGCTGCTACAGAGAAAGAAATGGTCAATGTCAACCAGCAAAAATGGAAAAAAACAAACAGTGATTGCATTTTTTCATCCATACTGCAATGCTGGTGGAGGAGGAGAAAGAGTTTTATGGTGTGCCTTGAGGACCCTGCAAAAAAAGTATGTATGGGTCTTTTTTAGTGAATTTGCTGCATTGTTGCCATTGACAGAACAAATCATTACCCAAATGAAAAAAAAAATCTTTACCCAGAAATACATCTCTCTTTTTTATCTTATTCATAACCAGGAATTCCCTGTTTTCTTCAGTTTTTTAGTAAAATATTTCTGGGCTGGGGATTTAGCTCAGTGGTTCTGCCATCTGCCTAGAAAGAGCAAGGACCTGAGTTTGACCCCTGGTACCCAAAAAAAAAAAAGTTAAAAGAAAGTATTTCTGTCATAAGCCTACCTGCCTCATATTATCCTACTGAATTTTAGACCTGACATGGTGGTATAGTCCCAGGTCCTCCAGAAGCTGAAGTGAGAGGATCATTTGAGCCAGCAGTTTGAGGCCAGCCTGGGGAACGTAATAAGACCTTGTCTCAAAGAAAGGTCTAGCTTTCTTTTCTTTTAACATGTTTGCATTTCTCAGATAAAATGCTGGGTATTGCTTTAGAATTACAATTCTATATAAAAATACCTGTAGTGGATTTTGGTTCTTATTTATCATAACTTTATTAATATTTCATGACCATTTTTATACTAAGAATGTTAACTTTTTTTTTTTTTTTTTTTTTTTTTTTTTTTGTT